GACTGCAGGCTTACTCGTGGTTCCTAGAGTTTCCAAAAGCAGAATGGGAGGAAGATCTTCCAGTTATCAGGCTCCTCTCTTGTGGAACCAACTTCCAGTTTCTCTCCGTGAGGCTGACACATTGTCCAGGTTTAAGACTGGACTCAAGAGATTTTCCTTTTTGATAAATCCTATAGTTAAGGTTGGCTTGTTATGCTGCTATAGACTTTAGCCCTATTCGCATGGGATTAGTTTTACCTAGGGACTAAGCATCTCTGTGATTTGGACAGAAATGTGCGGGATTCGATATGTAATTAGGCAACTTTTGTTGTCTAAGCTAAATTAGGATTTGGAATCATTTGGAAAAATATAGAAGAAGCTTATTTTAACAGAACGCACTGCTTGCGTCGTCTTTTGTAGATGCTGCTACTTTCTTCACCGCAAATGGCAGCAGGTGCAGAGATGTGCGCAGCTGGTGATCAGCTGACCCATCCACCCATCCATCCGTCCGTCCATCATCTTTACCCGCTTCCTTCTGGTGCCCATCTCTAGCCATCACTGTGCGAGAGGCGGGGTACACCCCGGACAGGTCGTAAGTCCATTTCAACCAGCGGGTGAGCGGATGCACGCGGTCGGTGACAGGTTGTCCATCTGAGCTTAACGCAACTTTTTTAATCTCTAAACTGGCCGGTCGGACCTGCCTCCTCCTCAACAAGTAGATTAATATAATTTTATATTGTGCAATCAGTTTTCTTTGTGCTGATTCGTAAAACCGCATCAAAACCCGAGACCGGCCCAGCCCACACATTAAGCACGTTATATGGACCAGCGCGATCGTGACAACGCAGCGCGTTAACATCTCCGGAAGATGTCCGTAAATTTCAGCTAAATCTCAGGTTTTGGTTATCCTGTGCAAATGCGCCACATAAAAAGCTGACGTTGAGGAGCAATTTATTTATTACATGTGGTTCTTAGGTAAAACTAATCCCGTGGAAATAGGGCTTTAGACGACTACAGGACAAGTTGACCTCATTTCCTTAAATGAATTGCTAAAATTTAATAGTTTTCATTTGATACTATTTCTATCTTAACATGTGATTCTTGACCTGCCATTGTGTATCTGTTCCTCTCAAACCCAGCCAGTCAAAGCAGATGGCCACTTGTCCTGAGCCTGGTTCTGCTAAAGGTTTCTTCCTCATGAGGGAGTTTTTCCTTTCCACTGTCGCCTTCATGCTTGCTCAAGATGAGAGTCTGTGTTGGAGTTAAACTCAAAGCAGTCTGCTCCTCAGATAAATAGTGTTAAATTATTTTTATATATATGAATGTTTCTGTTCAGTGCCCTGAGACGACTTCTATTGTGACTTGGCGCTATATAAATAAACTGAACTGAATTTCTGTCACTATTTTGGGCTTGATATTTGTAACTTTTGTGCACTAACTAATCTTTGTCATAAAGGACACTTTACTGAGTCAGAATCCACATAAGCAAGAAGAAAAATATCTCTACGTGGCCAAAACTCTGTGTAATTAAACACAGGAAGTCACGGTGTGTAAACCATATCCACTTTGTGTTTAACTGCATTACTTCTTTTGACAGACAAACCTAAAGTAGGTTTGAACAACGCAGTGTAGTGATTGTAATAATGCACCTGGTGGACGTCGTACCACTGATTAAAGCTGTTTAAAAGCCAGCAAGAATAAAATGCGATTCCTAAAGAGAAACTGAGGTGTTTGAGAAAATGTCTCTTGTGTCAGAGTGTGAAGCTGCAAGGAATTTGGAGATTTGAATATTATTAACAAAATGAGTCACGGCACATTTTTCTAAACTGACTCCTTATTATTTACAAATTATTCATCTCAAAAGCTTCTAAATGAAACGTGGTTTGGCGAAGTTTGTAGATTTATCACATGGCCTGGTAAAAAGTTAGTTTTGTTCATGAGCGCAGGTGTGAAGACTTGTTGTTTTTGATTTGGAGTGAACGTCGGGAGTTCCAGCCCAATATTAAAAAAGGGGGAATCCACATCATCACAATGACGGCAAACATTAAACCAAGGGACTTCCTGTCCAGAATCCAGGGAAACTTTTGTACAAATACATGTAATGCTAAATGATACATATAGGTTAGCATCATGTGCTACTGACCACGTAGTACTATATAATTGTTGGAAAAAGTATTAATAACTTCAGCAAGATGAAATTTTGCAGTTAGTTTTGTTGTTTAAAAAAAAAGAAGAAGAAGAAGAAAGAAACAGTCCAACCATTAATTATGTGAAATCCTATTTCAGGTTGGACCCGAAAAACAATTATTTTAACCAATCAACCAATCTACGCCCCAACAGATCCACCCCGAACCTTTTTCACATGTTTCTGCTTGTCAAAAAGGCTTGTTCCTCTACACTGTCACCCACCACCCTGCTTTTATTCAGGCTGGAGGATTTAATTGAAGTAAAAATTTGAATCAGTGTTTTTCGTTAAAAAGACAAACTTTTACCAGCTGGTGTTTTATAATCTGATGAAACTGACTGTTTTAGAGTTGGAGTGAACTGGACTGTACGTAACTGGCTTTGAATCTGGATCTAGATTGAATTGAATTACATGTAGCAGCCCCGAGATGACTTCTGCTGTCAATTCAAAACATTTTGAACCACATTATAACATTTCCTTATGGGTCACTGTGAACAGCTAAAAGCTAAATGTTATTTGTTCATTACGTAACAGCGTTTTGGATTTATGCGTTTCTTCAAGTCTGTCTTCACCTTACTTGGTTTTTTCCACTTTGCTATCAGACCCAATGTAGATTGTAACCTTCTTTTTATATTTAGGAAAAGATAGTAATATTACTCTATTAACACTCTAATAGCTTGATTTTTCTACATAGAAGCCTTTTTCATGTCCCGCACCTGAAACAGCCATTAATACATTTCTGTTTTTTAGTATTTCACATCGCTTTATAATGTAGCTGCTTTTATTTTGTTTATTATATAAGTTATTTTATTTACTTTTCATTTTATACACTTTTATGATTGTCTATTGTTGTCTGTACCTCATCTGTGCTATTTGTCTAAAACAGGTCTCTCCTGTAAATGAGTCCTCGTGACTCAATGGGACTAACCTGTATAAATAAAGGTTGAATGAATTACTCAACATTGATGATCCTGGGTCCAAACAAGAAGAGAACAAGCAGGTTCCTAAATAAGACTTGCTCTAAGCTATGTGCTCACAAATCTACTTTCTTTTGGCCGTGATAAATTAGCTTTAAACCTTCCTGCACCTCCTCTAACACAGTAGAGCTTTATCGGGGCTGATTATGGCCTACTTCTGTTTCCCCGGCAGCCTCTATGTATCACGCTCTTCAACTTATGGTGCCATCTCTCCAGAGTGCCACTGACACACTTAGGTCCTTGTCTACCTCGTAACAGGTCAAAGAAATAAATTGGGAAGGGATTTTTGCCCCTAGCATGCTATTTCTGATTCGGTATCCTCCTTCATTTCTGTTTTTGTTCCATCTTTATCAAAGTAGGCAGTGAACCTAAGAGGTACTACTGTTGTGATCACAGTCGCCACCTTCTGTGTTTGCAAAGCTGAGAGTAGCTGGAATAGAGGGTATGAGCCAACCTTCTGATGGCAGCATGCTATGACCTAAAGCAGTAGGGCAGATATGATCCCTATCCCAAACACATGAAGTAACTCTCTGGAGCCACACGTCACATGCAGGAGGTGGGCTTGCACAGGAGGAATAAGGACTTCATCGTGACGTTAAAGACGAGGGGAATTGGGGTCATGCTTTCACTTTCTATCCATCCAACCTCCAGCAGAACATAACAGGCAGGTTTAAACCTGTAGAAAAGCTGTTAGAAAAAAACATATTTGCATCACTAAATGATTCAGTTTCACAAATCACAAGAGAAGCGGCGGCAGAGTTCGACAGCTGGGAATGGATATAAACAAACCATACTGTCTGTAGTGGCGTTCGTACAGCTGTCGCTAGATTGTTGTCAAGCATGGACGTTTTCTCTATCAGCACACGTTTAAATGTAGGCAAGATAAATCTCAGATAGCGCTCTCTGGTTAAAGCACAGTGAGGCTGAGTGCTCCAGCGTTGTGGTTTGAACAGATTGTGATTGGTTTCCCTGCACTAACACTGCCCAGAGTCTCCTCAGCGTCCTAATGTAGCCTGGGAAGCTTCAGCATTAGCAGTAAAAGGTTGGACCTTCGTTAGAAAAGTGCTTCTCGCCACAAAACTTTAGAGTGGATCTCCATCCGGCTGACGGCAGTTGATGGACCTCATGTGTCATTGGCTTCTTTTTTTTTTCATAGTGACATCAGTAATAGAACCAAGTGGGTCAATGGGAGGGAGGAGCCTCGACATTCTCATGAACATTAACACAACACCAGGTGGGGCTTTGGACAACAGGTTCAAGACACGCTTATTTCCACAACAACACACCCAATAACGGCAATAACCGCTTGGGAGTTTTGAGTCTTTGCTGCTTACACTCCCGCTATAAACGTATCGGTTGTATATTAGAGTGCAAGAGCAAATGAAAGACCTTAAATGAGAATTAAAAACACTTGAATTAGCCCTTGAATTGAAAGAACAGTCTAGAAACAGAGATACATGGCATCCAGGACAGAGAGATTTGACAGAGAAATTATAGATTAAGCACAGATGCAGGTTTTGTTTCCCTCTTTCTGATGAAAAGTGGTTTTTTTTCTTTTCTGCTTGTCTGTCTCGAGACAGAGCTCACAAGGAGCCCTGTTATCCTAGGGTGTTCAGTCAAATTGGGTGTGGTCTTGATATACGTTTCACACACCCCCTTCACTGTGCCCTGCTTGAACTTTAAAATGCACGCGCACACCCACCCTCCTGCCGATGTGTTCGAGTTTCCCAACCCCAAAAATTCTCCCGGAGCGTTTGATAAAAGATGGAGAGAACAAAGGCAGAGAGAAATAAGAGAGCGAGATCCTAAAAGTATGTTCTGCTCTTAAAACATTTAGCAAATCACGCAAATGTCCATTCGTGTGTCTAAAAGCTCAGCTTTAACCCCAGCACAATGACGGGTTCTATGAATATAATACAGCATCGTCTCAGTTTTTTAGTTGGTTTTCTGCGTCTAAGAGACAGGAGCCACAGCCCCCAAGGGAGAAATCAAAAGGAAAAGAAAAAAGGAGGAAGAGGAAGTAGCAGACAGTTTTTGATATGCGCCCTGCTTGTGTGTCACCAGGTGGGTGGTTGGGTCTCTTCTGTCTGTGCTGTTGTCTGGAGTCAGAGGAGAGGAGCCGGAGAAAGGGAGGATCGAGTAGGATTGTTCAAGGGGTCAAAGACAAGGGGTCAGGAGGTCGTAAAGGATCAGCCCTGGGTCTCCTTGCTGCTTTCTCGATCCCGCTGTCCACTCTTGTTCATCTTCATCTCTGTCAGCTGGATGTATCGCAGCACGTTGGTGTCTGAGATGGAGATGAGACAGCAGATATGAGCAGGAATCATCCTGAGTTTGTTCTATTTTAACTAATAAACCACCAGAAAACAGAGTTACTTTACAAACAAAGGCACCTAAGGGTTAAAAAATACTTTCAGAATCAAGCACAGAGCAGTGTGTTCATCTTTTGGTAAAATAAAAAGGCTTTACAACTCAATTTATATATAAAAATGTAGCTAAGAATACAGGGGAAACACTTTGATTTTAAAGACAGAGTTGCTATCCTTGTTTTAGGAAGTTTTTCTAATTAGCTAAGTACAATATTATAGTAAAATATTAATACTAATGCTACTGCCATTAAAAATAAGTGTTAGCTAGTACAACTTTTCCAATAAATGCTAATCATAATTTAAAAGTCAGTTTCAACAAAACATTACCATTGAAATACAATCTAAATTTGATCGACATCACAGTCATGTAAATGTGGTAAAATTACACCCATCTCTTTTTTAAATTCAACCTTTATTTATACAGGCTAGTCTCACTGAGCCACAAGGACTCATTTACAAGAGGGACCTGTTCCAGACAGAACATATAAAGTACAGACAATAATAACAATAAACTACAGTAAAAATGCAGTTAAAATAAGAGTAGTGCATAAACCAATAAAGCAGGGTGCAATACTAAAAACAAGAACACATCTGCCTTAATTTTTCTATTTACATTATCAAATGTTTGAAACCCCTTATATAAATTAAGGTGGACAACTTCAGTTCCTGTTGCAAGGAACTCAGTTCTGTTTTTTTTTTTGTTTCAACCTCAAGAAAACAAGTGATTTTCAGTGGTGGATGCTGACTTCTGATGTGATGTGGCTCTTTAAACGTAAGCTGAGCTGGACAAACCTGACCAACTCCAAAAGAGGCAGTTGCGTAGCTACGTTTGTGTGCTTTACCCTGCCAGGCCTGCTTTAACATGAAACTCTCATCATTTTCAAGTCAAACAGAATTTTATTTTCAATACTGATAAGGATGAATGCATTCCAGAGCGTAGACTATTCCATTAAATGCTGTTAATTGATTTTCACCTGTGGGTTCGCGGTTCTTGGCGTCACACAGGTGGCGCAATGCACATTCGTAATCACCCAGGTGATAGAAGGCGATGCCGGCTCGATACATGGCCTTGAAGTGGTCTCTCTGGTGGCTCAGCACCTTCAGACAGTACTCCTTCACTCGCTCATAGTTCACCAGCTCCGACTGTAACAGACAAGCTGCAGGAGGAAGATAGGAAGGAAATTAATGGCCTGTAAATTTATGACAGGTTAAAAAAGACACATTTATTTTAAGTATTGGAAGTTAAGAAGACAGATTCCTCCCATAATGAGATTTGGAATATTCTGTTGACATCTCTGTGCTTTTAATAAAGCTACAGTAAAATTTAGCCATCCCAGTACATCCTCTTGGTAGCGGACTATAAATAGTCAGGTCTGAAGTCTCACCATGTAGAGAAAAGACAAAAAAATAAAATTACACAAGCAATCTGAGCCCTTGGGCAGGAGACTGGGGTCTCAGTTGTTGACAGCTTTTGCTAAACTTGTCAGAAGAACAGGCGAAACAGAAGCCTCGAAATAATAAAAATCAAGAGACCAACACAGAACAGAAAATATTTGAAAATTAGGTGTACATTTTACTGTAGTTATGTATCTTATGCGTTTCACAAGCAATTGTCAGCAGTTCTTAGATCAGCTCAGGTCGGAGTAACTTCATTAGTAACGACACACAAGTGAAATTGCACACACACACACACACGCACCCACGCACGCACGCACGCACGCATGCACACACGCACACACGCACACACACACACACACAGCTTTTAGTCCATCAAAGCTTTTAAATGCCAGCTGATGGATCAGATATCTGATCACTTACTGGTTCTCTGCTGGTCACAACCCCACAAGCTTTTACCCACCCTCCCCCTCATCTCTATCTCTGCCACTTAAGATACTTTAAAACAATTTCCCTCGATCTCTCCTTGTCCCTCCACACAAGTTTCTCCCACCCTTTTATTTCCTCCAACTCTGCCCTTGATTCAGGCATTTCTGTGATTAATGTGAGCATTAGCTGAGAGGCAGGGTGAGTCAGGAGTGAGAGTCAGAGAGAGAGGAGAGGTCGGGAGGAGGAGGCGCTTGTGTGGGAGGCTCGGGTTAAGGCAGGGTGAGGAGTGGACGCTTGTGGAAGCAACAAGGTGAGGAGGAGTGTGTAAAAGTAGTTAAGTCCAACCTGTGATCAACAGGTGGGGTGAGGAGCAGCTGGGACTGAAAGGGTGAGAAAGGTCAAAGGTTGAATGTTTTGTCAAACCAAAACATTCAACGTGTTCACACACACGAAAATATAAACTGACCTTAACTGGCAACAAGGCATCTTTAAAACAACAAAAACTTGATTATGGACATAAATATATGACAGTTTATTCTGTATGTCTTGGTGTTTATTGGTTGATTTTTTTAAACTCAAATATATATATATATATATATATATATATATATATATATATATATATATGTATATATGATCTGGGCGGCACAGTGTCTCGGTTGGTAGACCTTTCATTCAACCTTTATTTATATATTTATATAGGTTAATCCCACTGAGCCTTGGGGACTCATTTACAAGAGAGCCCTGATGCCTCTTAGTGAGAAGGTCGTCGGATGAAATCCCGGCTGGGGGCCTTTCTGGGTGGAGTTTGCATGTTCTCTTCGTACATGCGTGGGTTTTCTCCGGGTACTCCAGTTTCCTCCCACAGACCAAAAACATGCATGTTAGACTGATTGGTAACTCTAAATTGTCCTTAAGTGTGAGTGAGTGAATGGTTGTTTGTCTTGTTTGTCTCTATGTGTCCCTGTGATGGACTGGAGACATGTCCAGAGTGTCCCCTGCCTCTCGCAAAATGTCTGCTGGATATGGGCACTAGTGACCCCCGTGACCTGAAAAGGAAGAATCGGGTAAAGATAATGGATGGATGGATGGCTATATATGATCCTTTAAAGTAGTCTTAATATGTCTTCAGCTTTTTAAAGTTATTTTTGTAGCATTTTTTAAAACTCATTTTCTGTCTATTTGTTGTGTTTCATCCCTGACCTGTGCAGTATATTGTGTAGTGTGAGCTTGAAGAAAGAATGAATTGAAAGTGGAACTAAAAAATCATCTCCAGCAGACAAAGGGTGACAGGAATGGTTGAGTTGTGAAAAAATTGAGCCAAAACCCCAAAGATGTTTCTTTGATAACAAAGCTAAACTGTTTTCAAAAAGAACTCCCAAACCAAACCATAGACTACATGACGGTACACAGACCATCGCACGTAGACTGAGCAAACCCAAGGAGCTCATATACACAGGAAGCAAAGCATAGACCTCCAAACCATGACAGACAGTCTCTGAACGTTGTTTCCAAGAAAAAAGGAAACAGTCCAGCAAAGGGTTGAGACAAGACCTGAGATGCATCGTCCTTCAGTTGATCATTTACTGTAGGACAAGTTTTCAGCTAATATATGTTTGGAAATCACCTTTTTTGTGATAAAACACAACTTTATGTGGTATTTGTTTTATAAATTCAGCAAATGAAATAGGAAGAAATTGGGTCTTTACAACAAAGTGCCTAAAGTTTCTATTTAAAAATGGCTCTTCACTAATATGTCTGTTCTGTGTCTGAAAATGGTCAAGTAATGGACTAGAATTGAATAAAACATAAACCTGTCAAAGTTTTCAGAAAATTTTTATAAAACCTTTAGAAAGTCTGAACAAATATCGGCCAAAACCACTAAAAGATTACAAAGAAAATTTAGCAGCTGAGAAGCAAAGAACTGTTTGAAGACATGAGGGATGACAAAACTTTTGCACAGCAATGGTTAACAAATTGTTTAGCTTCTGACCCACAAAATAAATATGTTAAAGACTTGTCCGAAGTATCCTTGGTTGAACTATACAAACGCTGCTGAAGAAAAGTAGATGAGGCCAATATGACAACTTACACTACTTCCCTCCCTTTAAAATATGCTGGTATTATTTATTTTTATTTAATTTCTGGAGATCATCCCCTCCTGGGGACCACTGGTACTAGCTATTTTAAAATATATTTTAAAAAGTGGATGAATGAACATGTACACAAACTCAAACACAACGTTTAATTAAAAATGCAACAACAAAAAAAACCGGACAACCTCTTATCTTCCGCGAGGCTCATGACTCAGCACAGAGACGAGCAGGAAGGTCAAAACCGTTTCCTCTCCTCAGTGAGCAGATGTCTGCTCAGCCCATTACAGCGCGACTCACCTCACAAGCCTTCTGCCTTTGCTGCACACCTTTCCCCACAATCATCTCCTCCATTTGTTTTTACAACTAGACCACTCTCATTCCTGCACGCCCATCCATCATCTCCCTCCAGCAGAGAGCTTTGAGAGGATTCACTTACAATCCATAATGGTTTAATGGCCGACTTCGAGGTTTCACTGGCGCTGACAGACCAACACCGATGCATACAACAGTTACAAATAACAAACACACTGTGACTCAGGTGAAACAACCACGAGGGTTAAAGGTAAAAGATATACCTACAGACAGGACACAACACTCTTTCTAGCACATGGCTTAAGAGGATTATGGATGAAAAATATGTGAGGGATACGTCTGGCTGGCCGCGCCCAGTCGGCCCATTAGGCAGATGGATGGAATACCAGTAGAAATGTAGAGTGGTGAGAGGCATTAAGGGTATGATAATGACGGGATCAACGGAACAGGCTTGGCAGTGACGCAGACAGAAACAAGCCCAATAAAAACGTCGGAGTGATTTCACTGGAGCCGCACTGTCCCCTTCACTAAAGGACATCATGTCCCGTAATTTAAGGGCCAGAAAGTGTAGAGTGGGCAACAGTTGTCGTGATAAAGCATAAAACATCTGGAAAATATTGAGGGATGTTTTAGCCTTTTGTACTTTTTATTCATTTTATTTGTTTATGTCATTATATAGTGATAAACTACAACTTTACTGCCATTCACCTGCCAAGAATTTCATGTAAATACTTGTCTGTATGTCCCAAATTTGGCTCACATTGTCTTATTTAAACAAATAAGTTTGCATTCTTAAGAGTCTTTAAAACATCTAAAAGAAGTATAAATCACTATAGACTATAGCTGTAACATATAGTTAGTTTTCATGGCATGAAAAGGCTTTTCAAAATCCCTGGACAGTTGTGTCACAGTTGGCCAGAGGACTGGACTCAGAAGTCAGAGAGACACGAGCAACTCAAGAACTAAAACCGATTTATTATTTTATAAAAGCAAAACCAAAATGGTGATGCAATGACAACAGCAAAACTACCCACAAAAGAAACAAAAAGTAATCTTCAGGAACAAAACTGTGACATAAAACCAACAATGCACTGCTGGTGAGTGAGTCATGGACTGAACATACAGGAATGAGGTAAATGGGAAAGTGGAATCACTAAATACTAACTGGGAACAGGTGAGAGTGGGCGTGGCTTCTGATTGAGCAGAAGAATTAAAGTGAGGGGAACGTGAGTGAATAAAGAGGAACACAGTTAAACAAATCTAAATCCAAAAATCACAAAACATGAAACAAATAAGTGATGAACGAAGCAAACAAAAACACGGATCCTGACAAATTTAAACATTTGTGCCTACTGGATAAATCAGACATTTAGGAACATAAAAAAGACAGAAACAAAGTGCAGAAAAACAGCATGAACACTCGAGACCCGAGGGGGTACTTAAAGCAAAAATATTTTTGATAAATTAAAAGATTCTGCAGGAGCAAATAAATTAAAATAAAGTACAAATCAACAAAGACCAAAACAATGACTGCAAACTCCAGAAGGATGTAAGACAAGTTAAACATATCCAGGTTCTTGTTTCGATTGACTCAACAAAACCTGAACCTCCACCCAGAGCTGCAGCAACAGTGGTTGTGATTTTTCCTGGTTACGTCAGACTTTCCTCTTCCGGCTGAGCACAGTCACAAAATAGGAGTGCTTCAAGCATCAATTGATGCTTCTTCCAACAAAATATACTGATCACTCAATATCAACAAGGGAGAAAATAGCTAAATTGTGCTGACTCTCAATACACAACAGAAGATTAAGTGGATGGAGATGTAGAGAATATGAAAATAATTACAGGAGAAAAAAAACGTAGCTACATTTAGGACAAGAGACATCTGTGCAGAAAATTCTTGTAACAATATTTTATAAAAATCT